GAGGATGTGAGTGAGGGGTCTCTAGGATGGAGGTTGGAGGATGTGAGGAGGGGTCTCTAGGATGGAGGTTGAGGATGTGAGGAGGGGGTCTCTAGGATGAAGGCTGGAGGATGTGAGGAGGGGTCTCTAGGATGGAGGCTGGAGGATGTGAGGAGGGGTCTCTAGGATGGAGGCTGAAGGATGTGAGGAGGGGTCTCTAGGATGGAGGCTGGAGGATGTGAGGAGGGGTCTCTAGGATGGAGGTTGGAGGATGTGAGGAGGGGTCTCTAGGATGGAGGCTGGAGGATGTGAGGAGGGGTCTCTAGGATGGAGGTTGAGGATGTGAGGAGGGGTCTCTAGGATGGAGGCTGGAGGATGTGAGGAGGGGTCTCTAGGATGGAGGCTGGAGGATGTGAGGAGGGGTCTGTAGGATGGAGGATATGAGGAGGGGTCTCTAGGATGGAGGCTGGAGGATGTGAGGAGGGGTCTCTAGGATGGAGGTTGGAGGATGTGAGGAGGGGTCTCTAGGATGGAGGCTGGAGGATGTGAGGAGGGGTCTCTAGGATGGAGGCTGGAGGATGTGAGGAGGGATCTCTAGGATGGAGGCTGGAGGATGTGAGGAGGGGTCTCTAGGACGGAGGTTGAGGATGTGAGGAGGGGTCTCTAGGATGGAGGCTGGAGGATGTGAGGAGGGGTCTCTAGGATGGAGGCTGGAGGATGTGAGGAGGGGTCTCGCTCCGGCGGGGATATATGAGGCCGGCCTCCGGTTCTCTGCTGTCACTCTGGCTCTGGGGGAACAGATGTGGTCGTCTCTCTGTGGCTCCTATTATTCGCTCTCACATACTTCTGACCACGATCCGGGTTTCCATAGTGAGAGGAATAATGGGGGACCGTAGTCACCAATCCCCCCGCCCGCCGCACACAATAGAGGCCGCTTCTCAATAGATGACCCGTCTGGACACCAGAGAAAGAGGGAGGCCATACTGTGAGCAGCGCCGGAGCCCGCGAGGTCCCCGCATGGTCCTCCAGACTCCATTCCACGACGATTATTCATATGGAAGTATTTGTGATTCTCTGGTCGGTGCCGCGCGTTCCGGAGGAGTTCCATGCGTGAGATGATTCCAGGAGTCCCGCGATGAGGGAGGCGGAAGGATCCGCACTTTTGTTGATGATATTTCCTGAATGTATCAATAAAATCTCATAACAAATCTAAACAGAAACTGATCCCCCCCCTCCCCCCCCACCGATCTTCATTTTAATTATCGATTGATGAACGGATCGTCACGCGTGTCTCTGGTCATGTCAGACGTGTTCTGTGTGGCGCGGTCCTCACCTGAAGTGTCTCAGGCCTGGCTCTCCCCGCTCGCTGTTCATGTGTGTAGTTCAGATACATTGATTCCAATGGGGCTGTTCACACTGGAGCGCTGCGCTGGTAAAAAATCTGACGTGTGAAATGTCAGTCCAGCCAAGGGGAAAATGATCACATTACTGAATGTCATCGGTCTGCTGCAGGCAGGAGGAGACATTTCCTCAGTCTCCCCTCCCCCAGTGATCAGACTGTACATTGTAACTCTGTAGAAGGGGGAGGAGTCATTTCCTCAGTCTCCTCCCCCAGTGATCAGGCTGTACATTGTAACTTTGTAGAAGGAGGAGGAGGCGTTTCCTCAGTCTCCCCTCCCCCAGTGATCAGACTGTACATTGTAACTTTGTAGAAGGAGGAGGAGGCGTTTCCTCAGTCTCCCCTCCCCAGTGATCAGACTGTACATTTGTAACTCTGTAGAAGGAGGAGGAGGCATTTCCTCAGTCTCCCCTCCCCCAGTGATCAGGCTGTACATTGTAACTTTGTAGAAGGAGGAGGAGTCGTTTCCTCAGTCTCCTCCCCCCAGTGATCAGGCTGTACATTGTAACTTTGTAGAAGGAGGAGGTGGCATTTCCTCAGTCTCCCCTCCCCCGAGGATCAGACTGTACATTGTAACTTTGTAGAAGGAGGAGGAGGCGTTTCCTCAGTCTCCCCTCCCCCAGTGATCAGACTGTACATTGTAACTTTGTAGAAGGAGGAGGTGGCATTTCCTCAGTCTCCCCTCCCCCAGTGATCAGACTGTACATTGTAACTTTGTAGAAGGAGGAGGAGGCGTTTCCTCAGTCTCTCCTCCCCCAGTGATCAGACTGTACATTGTAACTTTGTAGAAGGAGGAGGTGGCATTTCCTCAGTCTCCCCTCCCCCAGTGATCAGACTGTACATTGTAACTTTGTAGAAGGAGGAGGAGGCGTTTCCTCAGTCTCCCCTCCCCCAGTGATCAGACTGTACATTGTAACTTTGTAGAAGGAGGAGGAGGCGTTTCCTCAGTCTCCCCTCCCCCGAGGATCAGACTGTACATTGTAACTTTGTAACACAGAGCACCTGTACACACAGCCAAGAAGCGCTCAGGCACCAGGATTTACATGATTGTGTCATCTCTGAGCCGACATCTCAGTGCAGGTTGTAGATAGTAACCCTGGATGATGCCCAAATAAAGATGGTGCCGCCCTGATGGAGAGAAAAGCAGATGGCGGCATTGTCAGGGGAGTCCCTCGGAGAGGTAATAATACGGATCACACGGACACATTACATAGGAACGGCACAGGAACCAATCAGAAAATGTTCCTCCAGGCCGGTCCCTTACAGTCAGGATGGGGGAGGGTCACAGGCCATGAGCGGGGGCAGCAGACCTCGTCCAATGAAACCTTTCCTGGCAGAATGCTGATTGGTCACGGTGGATCTTTCACAGCAGATTGCAGTGGTTTCACCCAAAAGAGATTTCCTGTGGGGGGGGGGGGGGGGGTCTCCAGAGCGCGGGGGGGGGGGGGGTCTCCAGAGCGGGGGGGGGGGTCTCCAGAGCGCCTCCTTTCCACCTCCAGAGTCCATGTTCATCTGTGCAAGAAAGATTGTAGAGTTCCCTGACTGCACACAGCCGGGGGACATCGAGGGTCCATGTGCAGCTTCATCACCACTACCCCCAACTAATCATCATCACTACTACCCCCAACTAATCATCATCACTACTACCCCCAACTAATTATCATCACTACTACCCCCAACTAGTTATCATCACTACTACCCCCAACTAGTTATCATCACTACTACCCCCAACTAGTTATCATCACTACTACCCCCAACTAGTTATCATCACTACTACCCCCAACTAGTTATCATCACTACTACCCCCAACTAATTATCATCACTACTACCCCAACTAGTTATCATCACTACTACCCCCAACTAATTATCATCACTACTACCCCCAACTAGTTATCATCACTACTACCCCCAACTAATCATCATCACCACTACCCCCAACTAATCATCATCACTACTACCCCCAACTAGTTATCATCACTACTACCCCCAACTAATTATCATCACTACTACCCCCAACTAGTTATCATCACTACTACCCCCAACTAATCATCATCACCACTACCCCCAACTAATCATCATCACTACTACCCCCAACTAGTTATCATCACTACTACCCCCAACTAATTATCATCACTACTACCCCCAACTAGTTATCATCACTACTACCCCCAACTAGTTATCATCACTACTACCCCCAACTAATTATCATCACTACTACCCCCAACTAGTTATCATCACTACTACCCCCAACTAATTATCATCACTACTACCCCCAACTAGTTATCATCACTACTACCCCAACTAATCATCATCACCACTACCCCCAACTAATCATCATCACCACTACCCCCAACTAATCATCATCACCACTACCCCCAACTAATCATCATCACTACTACCCCCAACTAATTATCATCACTACTACCCCCAACTAGTTATCATCACCACTACCCCCAACTAGTTATCATCACTACTACCCCCAACTAGTTTTCATCACTACTACCCCCAACTAGTTTTCATCACTACTACCCCCAACTAGTTATCATCACTACGACCCCCAACTAGTTTTCATCACTACTACACCCAACTAGTTTTCATCACTACTACACCCAACTAGTTATCATCACTACTACCCCCAACTAATCATCATCACTACTACCTCCAACTAGTTATCATCACTACTACCCCCAACTAAGAATTGTCATCACTACTACCCCCAACTAATTATCATCACTACTACCCCCAACTAGTTATCATCACTACTACCTCCAACTAGTTATCATCACTACTACCCCCAACTAAGAATTGTCATCACTACTACCCCCCAACTAGTTATCATCACCACTACCCCCAACTAGTTATCATCACCACTACCCCCAACTAGTTATCATCACTACTACCCCCAACTAGTTATTATCACTACTACCCCCAACTAGTTATCATCACTACTACCCCCAACTAGTTATCATCACTACTACCCCCAACTAGTTATCATCACTACTACCTCCAACTAGTTATCATCACTACTACCCCCAACTAAGAATTGTCATCACTACTACCCCCAACTAGTTATCATCACCACTACCCCCAACTAGTTATCATCACCACTACCCCCAACTAGTTATCATCATCACTACTACCCCCAACTAGTTATCATCACTACTACCCCCAACTAGTTATCATCACTACTACCCCCAACTAGTTATCATCACTACTACCTCGAACATTGCCCCAAAATAAGAATTATTATTATCACTACTACCCAGGGGCGGACTGACCATTTGGAAACTCAGGCACTGCCCGAGGGCCCGGGGTCAGTAGGGGGCCCCATGAGATGCCCCTGGTACCTTTTTCATAGGCTTTTTTGAGCTTGGGCAAGGACACAGGGGCCCCATGATCCCCTATTGCCCGGGGGCCCCATGAGTTGTCAGTCCACCCCTGCTACTACCCCCAACATTGTCCCTGAAATTTTTTTTTATGGTAAAAAACAAATCTTCCCAAAATAGTAAACAATTCAATTCTCCTCCTCCTGATGTTTATGGCGACACCACCTATGTGGGCGCTATTTGTCCTTTATATCCGCAGTATACAGAGAAACATTACACAGCATCTGCTCTCTATATACAGTACATACACTATTGGCCCCGCCCTCCCAATCATGTGATCCAGGTGTTCCAATCCCCTCCCAATCATGTGATTCAGGTGTTCCAATCCCCTCCCAATCATGTGATTCAGGTGTTCCAATCCCCTCCCAATCATGTGATTCAGGTGTTCCAATCCCCTCCCCATCATGTGATTCAGGTGTTCCAATCCCCTCCCCATCATGTGATTCAGGTGTTCCAATCCCCTCCCCATCATGTGATTCAGGTGTTCCAATCCCCTCCCAATCATGTGATTCAGGTGTTCCAATCCCCTCCAAATAATGTAATTTAGGTGTTCCAATCCCCTCCAAATCATGTGATTCAGGTGTTCCAATCCCCTCCATATCATGTGATTCAGGTGTTCCAATCCCCTCCATATCATGTGATTCAGGTGTTCCAATCCCCTCCCAATCATGTGATTCAGGTGTTCCAATCCCCTCCATATCATGTGATTCAGGTGTTCCAATCCCCTCCATATCATGTGATTCAGGTGTTCCAATCCCCTCCATATCATGTGATTCAGGTGTTCCAATCCCCTCCCAATCGTGTGATTCAGGTGTTCCAATCCCCTCCCAATCATGTGATTCAGGTGTTCCAATCCCCTCCCCATCATGTGATTCAGGTGTTCCAATCCCCTCCCAATCATGTGATTCAGGTGTTCCAATCCCCTCCCAATCATGTGATTCAGGTGTTCCAATCCCTCCATATCATGTGATTCAGGTGTTCCAATCCCCTCCAAATAATGTAATTTAGGTGTTCCAATCCCCTCCAAATCATGTGATTCAGGTGTTCCAATCCCCTCCCAATCATGTGATTCAGGTGTTCCAATCCCCTCCATATCATGTGATTCAGGTGTTCCAATCCCCTCCCAATCATGTGATTCAGGTGTTCCAATCCCCTCCATATCATGTGATTCAGGTGTTCCAATCCCCTCCATATCATGTGATTCAGGTGTTCCAATCCCCTCCCAATCATGTGATTCAGATGTTCCAATCCCCTCCCAATCATGTGATTCAGGTGTTCCAATCCCCTCCCAATCATGTGATTCAGGTGTTCCAATCCCCTCCCAGTCATGTGATTCAGGTGTTCCAATCCCCTCCATATCATGTGATTCAGGTGCTCCAATCCCCTCCATATCATGTGATTCAGATGTTCCAATCCCTTCCATATCATGTGATTCAGGTGTTCCAATCCCCTCCATATCATGTGATTCAGGTGTTCCAATCCCCTCCATGGACACAGGTGTATACAATCAAGCCCCTAGGCATGCAGACGGCTTCTACAAACATTGGTGAAAGAATGGGTCGCTCTCAGGAGCTCAGTGACTCCAAGCGTGGTCCCGTGATAGGTGGCCACCTGGGCAATAAGTCCATCCGTGACATTTCCTGGCTACTAAATATTCCACGCTCAGCTGTTAGTGGGATTATAACAAAGTGGAAGCAACTGGGAACAACAGCCACTCAGCCACATCTATGGATCTCAGTCTTAGCGCTTTGTCCTGTCTGTGTCCCTGGAAGTGATCTATGGACCTCAGTCTCAGAGATCTGTCCTGTCAGTGTCCCTGGAAGTCATCTAAGGATCTCATTCTCAGCGATTTGTCCTGTCTGTGTCCCTGGAAGTGATCTATGGACCTCAGTCTCAGCGATCTGTCCTGTCAGTGTCCCTGGAAGTCATCTATGGATCTCAGTCTCAGCGATTTGTCCTGTCTGTGTCCCTGGAAGTGATCTATGGAGCTCAGTCTCAGCGATCTGTCCTGTCAGTGTCCCTGGAAGTCATCTATGGATCTCAGTCTCAGCGATCTTTCCTGTCTGTGCCCCTGGAAGTCATCTATGGACCTCATTCTCAGCGATTTGTCCTGTCTGTGTCCCTGGAAGTGATCTATGGACCTCAGTCTCAGAGATCTGTCCTGTCAGTGTCCCTGGAAGTCATCTATGGATCTCAGTCTCAGCGATCTGTCCTGTCAGTGTCCCTGGAAGTCATCTAAGGATCTCATTCTCAGCGATTTGTCCTGTCTGTGTCCCTGGAAGTGATCTATGGACCTCAGTCTCAGCGATCTGTCCTGTCAGTGTCCCTGGAAGTCATCTATGGATCTCAGTCTCAGCGATTTGTCCTGTCTGTGTCCCTGGAAGTGATCTATGGAGCTCAGTCTCAGCGATCTGTCCTGTCAGTGTCCCTGGAAGTCATCTATGGATCTCAGTCTCAGCGATCTTTCCTGTCTGTGCCCCTGGAAGTCATCTATGGACCTCATTCTCAGCGATTTGTCCTGTCTGTGTCCCTGGAAGTGATCTATGGACCTCAGTCTCAGAGATCTGTCCTGTCAGTGTCCCTGGAAGTCATCTATGGATCTCAGTCTCAGCGATCTGTCCTGTCAGTGTCCCTGGAAGTCATCTATGGATCTCAGTCTCAGCGATCTTTCCTGTCTGTGCCCCTGGAAGTCATCTATGGATCTCAGTCTCAGCGATCTGTCCTGTCAGTGTCCCTGGAAGTCATCTAAGGATCTCAGTCTCAGTGATCTGTCCTGTCTGTGTCCCTGGAAGTTATCTAAGGATCTCAGTCTCAGCGATCTGTCCTGTCTGTGTTCCTGGAAGTTATCTATGGATCTCAGTCTTAGCGATCTGTCCTGTCTGTGTCCCTGGAAGTTATCTATGGATCTCAGTCTCAGCGATCTGTCCTGTCTGTGTCCCTGGAAGTGATCCGCAGTCCTGTCTGTGCTGTCAGCAGCTGGCATGGAGGAGGTGGGGGTTGTCCTACATCTGTGTCTTTTGAAATTGCATTTAGTGTCAGTGTATAAATAGTTAGTGAGTTTGTTAGCTCTGACGTGGATGCACTGAGCAGGCTAGATACTGAGCCATGGGGATCAGACAAGAACTGTCAAAAGACCTGCACAACAAGGTATTGGAGCTTTATAAAGAAATATTCAGGATACTAAGAAAAACCACACAGGTGACCTCAAGAGAAATACAGGCTGCTGTGGAAAAAGATGGTGTGGATGTTTGAAGGAGCACAATACAACGATACTTGAATAAAAATGAGCTGCATGGTGGAGTGGCCAGAAAGAAGCCTTTACTGCACCAATGCCACAAAAAATCCTGGTTACAATATGGCCGACAACACCAGTCTGCGGCTACACAACTCCATACACAACAAACTGCAATGCTCTGTATAAGCCTTCCCTCCCCACCTCCATGAATGAGCCTTCCCTCTCCACCTCCATCAATGAGCCTTCCCTCCCCACCTCCATGAATGAGCCTTCCCTCTCCACCTCCATCAATGAGCCTTCCCTCTCCACCTCCATCAATGAGCCTTCCCTCCCCAACTCCATCAATGAGCCTTCCCTCTCCACCTCCATGAATTAGCCTTCCCTCCCCACCTCCATCAATGAGCCTTCCCTCCCCACCTCCATCAATGAGCCTTCCCTCTCCACCTCCATCAATGAGCCTTCCCTCCCCACCTCTACTAATGTGACTTCCCTCCCCACCTCCATCAGTGATCCTTCCCTCTCCACCTCCATCAATGAGCCTTGCCTCCCCACCTCTATCAATGAGCCTTCCCTCTCCACCTCCATCAATTAGCCTTCCCTCCCCACCTCTATCAATGAGCCTTCCCTCTCCACCTCCATCAATGAGCCTTCCCTCTCCACCTCCATGAATTAGCCTTCCCTCCCCACCTCCATCAATGAGCCTTCCCTCCCCACCTCCATCAATGAGCCTTGCCTCCCCACCTCCATCAATGAGCCTTCCCTCCCCACCTCCACCAATGAGCTTTCCCTCCCCACCTCCATCAATGAGCCTCCCCCCCCCCCACCTCCATAAATGAGCCTTCCCTCCCCACCTCCATCAATGAGCCTGCCCTCCCCACACCATCCTTGAACCCCCCCTCCTCCCACCTCCATCAATGAGGCCCCCTGCCCCCATCTCTATCAATGAGCCTTTTCCCCACCTCCATCAATGAGCCTTTTCCCCACCTCCATCAATGAGCCTTTTCCCCACCTCCATCAATGAGCCTTTTCCCCACCTCCATCAATGAGCCTTTTCCCCACCTCCATCAATGAGCCTGGCATAGTCAAGGCTTTGGATTTATTTTTCTATCCTTTTCCATCTTTATAAAGTTCCATTACCTTGTTATTCAGGTCTTTTGAAAGTTCTTTTCTGCTCCCCATGACCCCAGATACTAATAGCAATGTAAAAAGCCACAGATGTGGGAAATTATCCTTTAATTGCCATTTTAACCCTTGTGTGTCTGTACCAAGGCCAAACATTGCACGGCATGGCTGGAGGGTGCTGGGGCGGGCTGTGCCCCCCAGATTTCATGTGTGCCCCCCCAAGCCTTCAGCTCCCCCACTCCCACGGGTCCATAAAGTCTGCATGGAGGCTGCAGTACACAGAGTTGTCACCATCTCCTATATCAGAATACATGTCCTGCCGGCCACTGGTATAGTAAGCTAGCCAGATATGACTGGGGAGATCCCGAGTGATGTCAAGGGGGAGGGGCTTTAGAGAGGAATTCAGCTATCCATTGGTTGAAGAGGCAGCAGGGGGCGGTCAGCACTGCCTCTTCAGCCAATGAGTACACAGGGTGCACTATCACTACAATCAAGTCTTCATTTTGTATTGGTGGGAGATGGATCAGCTATGCCATGAAGATCTTGCAGTGAGGCGGGGGAGGAGTGTAAGGAGGGGGACTGTGGGGACCCTGATGTAAGGAGAGGGACTGTGGGGACCCTGATGTAAGGAGAGGGACTGTGGGGACCCTGATGTAAGGAGAGGGACTGTGGGGACCCTGATGTAAGGAGGGGGACTGTGGGGACCCTGATGTAAGGAGGGGGACTGTGGGGACCCTTATGTAAGGAGAGGGACTGTGGGGACCCTGATGTAAGGAGGGGGACTGTGGGGACCCTGATGTAAGGAGGGGGACTGTGGGGACCCTGATGTAAGGAGGGGGACTGTGGGGACCCTTATGTAAGGAGGAGGACTGTGGGGACCCTGATGTAAGGAGGGAGACGTGGGGACCCTGATGTAAGGAGGGGGACTGTGGGGACCCTGATTTAAGGAGGGGGACTGTGGGGACCCTGATGTAAGAAGGGGGACTGTGGGGACCCTGATGTAAGGAGGGGGACTGTGGGGACCCTGATGTAAGGAGGGGGATTGTGGGGACCCTGATGTAAGAAGGGAGACTGTGGGGACCCTGATGTAAGGAGGGGGTCTGTGGGGACCCTGATGTAAGAAGGGGGACTGTGGGGACCCTGATGTAAGAAGGGGGACTGTGGGGACCCTGATGTAAGAAGGGGGACTGTGGGGACCCTGATGTAAGGAGGGGGTCTGTGGGGACCCTGATGTAAGAAGGAGGACTATGGGGACCCTGATGTAAGATGGGAAACTATGGGGACCCTGATGTAAGGAGGGAGACTTGGGGACCCTGATGTAAGGAGGGGGACTATGGGGACCCTGATGTAAGGAGGGGGGTGAAAGGGACCCTGATGTAAAGAGAGGGACTATGGGGACCCTGATGTAAGGAGGGGGACTATGAGGACCCTGATGTAAGGAGGGGAACTATGGGGACCAAAATGTAAGGATGGGGACTATGGGGACCCTGATGTAAGGAGTTGGACTATGGGCAGCCTGATGTAAGGAGAGGGGCTGTGGGGACCCTGATTGATGTAAGGAGGGGGACTATGGGGACCCTGATTTTTTGTTTTTGTCACACTATACTACAATTTTAATATAAGGGGGGGCTCTGGGGACCCTGATGTTAGGGGATGTAACTCTGGGGACCTTGATGTAAGGGAGGTTACTCTGGGGGCTTATGTAGGGGGGGACTTTTGGGTCCCTGATGTAAAGGGGAGAACTTGATGTGGAGAGGGGACTCTGTGGACTCTGTTGAGGGGGAACTCTTATGGGGATTCTTGATGTAAGGGGTAATTCCGATGTGAACGAGTAGGCTTGTCCCGATGCTGCACTCTATATGTTGCTTTGTATGCTACTTACTCCTGACCCCTGCACTCCATACATGATGTAGTCCTGACCAGAGTGTTCATTGTCCCAGCAGTTGCAGGTTTTCATGAAGTTCTTCTTCAGGGTCGGCCCAGACAGACAAAATGATCGCTTTTCTGTACAGATGTGATGGGAAACGTTGAAATATTTAACAATGATTCTTGGTACTGAGGATTGTGTATCTGTGAGATCGTCACGCGCCTGCCGTCCCCTTCCTGCCCCTCGCCTGCCGGGCACTGTCCCCCCTTCCTGCGCCTCGCCTGCCGGGCACTGTCCCCCCTTCCTGCCCCTCGCCTGCCGGGCACTGTCCCCCCTTCCTGCGCCTCGCCTGCCGGGCACTGTCCCCCCTTCCTGCGCCTCGCCTACCGGGCACTGTCACCCCTTCCTGCCCCTCGCCTACCGGGCACTGTCACCCCTTTCCTGCCCCTCGCCTACCGGGCACTGTCCCCCCCTTCCTGCCCCTCGCCTACCGGGCACTGTCACCCCCTTCCAGCCCCTCGCCTACCGGGCACTGTCACCCCTTTCCTGCCCCTCGCCTACCGGGCACTGTCACCCCCCCTTAATTTCTCATTTTCCTTCCACTTCACAATTATGTGACACTTTGTGTCGGTCCATCACATCCAATCCCGACAGATACATTGTAAACATGACAACATGGGGGACATTTCAGGGGGAGGAAAACTTTTTCAAGGCACTGTATGTATATATATATATATATACATCCACTATATTGCCCCAAGTATCGGGCCGCCGGCCTTTCCACGCACATGACCTTTAATGGCCCCCCAGTCTTAGTCCGTAGGGTTCAATATTGAGTTGGCCCCGCCCTTTCCACACACATGACCTTTAATGGCCCCCCAGTCTTAGTCCGTAGGGTTCAATATTGAGTTGGCCCCGCCCTTTGCAGCTATAACAGCTTCAACTCTTCTGGGAAGGCCGTCCACAAGGTTTAGGAGGGTGTCTATGGGAAGGTTGGACCATTCTTCCAGAAGAACATTTGTCAGGTCAGGCACTGATGTGGGGGGAGGAGGCCTGGCTCACAGTCTCTGCTCTAATTCATCCCAAAGGTGTTCTATGTTTGTAGAAGCAGTCTGCATGCCGAGGGGCCTGATTGTATACACCTGTGTCCATGGAGGGGATTGGAGCACCTGAATCACATGATTTGGAGGGGATTGGAACACCTGAATCACATGATATGGAGGGGATTGGAACACATGAATCACATGATATGGAGGGGATTGGAACACCTGAATCACAGGATATGGAGGGGATTGGGACACCTGAATCACATGATATGGAGGGGATTGGAAGACCTGAATCACATGATATGGATGGGGATTGGAACACCTGAATCACATGATTGGGAGGGGATTGGAACACCTGAATCACAGGATATGGGGGGATTGGAACACCTGAATCACATGATATGGAGGGGATTGGAACACCTGAATCACATGATATGGAGGGGATTGGAACACTTGAATCACATGATATGGAGGGGATTGGAACACCTAAATCACATTATTTGGAGGGGATTGGAACACCTGAATCACATGATATGCAGGGGATTGGAACACCTGAATCACATGATTGGGAGGGGATTGGAACATCTGAATCACAGGATATGGAGGGGATTGGAACACCTGAATCACTTGATTGGGAGGGGATTGGAACACCTGAATCACATGATTTGGAGGGGATTGGAACACCTGAATCACATGATATGGAGGGGATTGAAACACCTGAATCACATGATTGGGAGGGGATTGGAACACCTGAATCACATGATATGGAGGGGATTGGAACACCTGAATCACATGATATGGAGGGGATTGGAACACCTGGATCACATGATTTGGAGGGGATTGGAACACCTGAATCACATGATTGGGAGGGATTGGAACACCTGAATCACATGATTGGGAGGGGATTGGAGCACCTGAATCACATGATTGGGAGGGGATTGGGACACCTGAATCACATGATATGGAGGGGATTGGAGCACCTGAATCACATGATATGGATGGGGATTTGAACACCTGAATCACATGATTGGGAGGGGATTGGAACACCTGAATCACAGGATATGGGGGGGATTGGAACACCTGAATCACATGATATGGAGGGGATTGGAACACCTGAATCACATGATATGGAGGGGATTGGAACACTTGAATCACATGATATGGAGGGGATTGGAACACCTGAATCACATGATTTGGAGGGGATTGGAACACCTAAATTACATTATTTGGAGGGGATTGGAACACCTGAATCACATGATATGGAGGGGATTGGAACACCTGAATCACATGATTGGGAGGGGATTGGAACATCTGAATCACAGGATATGGAGGGGATTGGAACACCTGAATCACATGATTGGGAGGGGATTGGAACACCTGAATCACATGATTTGGAGGGGATTGGAACACCTGAATCACATGATATGGAGGGATTGAAACACCTGAATCACATGATTTGGAGGGGATTGGAACACCTGAATCACATGATTTGGAGGGGATTGGAACACCTGAATCACATGATATGGAGGGGATTGGAACACCTGAATCACATGATATGGAGGGGATTGGAACACCTGGATCACATGATTTGGAGGGGATTGGAACACCTGAATCACATGATTGGGAGGGGATTGGAACACCTGAATCACATGATTGGGAGGGGATTGGAACACCTGAATCACATGATTGGGAGGGGATTGGAACACCTGAATCACATGATTGGATGGGCGTTGACAATACTTTTGGCAATACAGTGTATATGGATGTATATAGGGAGGTGTATACTGTATATATCATACAAACCATCTGTTAAACTCCTCCTGGATCAGGGCTGGCACAGAGAGTCTGCAGTGCAGGCAGGAAGGGAGGGGGTCAGGGAGGGACTACTACCATCACCTAAATATTCACATGCTGCACCCCACCCTTGTTAGAGAGATTTGGTGCCACACAGATATGTAGAGGGGAAGTCATGTCGCCTGCCATTGCTGGATTATCCTGAGACATACCAGTCCCCTGGCTGCTGTTCCAATGACTTCACTACCACTGACTTCAAGTACAGAGTGCAGAGACGGCCAGGCAATGAGCATTTCCAGATCAGAAGCCTCCATATTTCTCAGTTCAGATTTCTTTACCAGAGCAGCACTCACTGGCACCCCCTTGTGACGTGGGTGTGAAGTACAAGGATCCCTCCATGCAGATTGTTACATTGTATCCAGGAGGAAGAATCATCACCAATGATACAATCCCTCCTGTACAATGTGGGGGCCCCGACTCTGCTCAGCTCAGTGACAACAATCACAACAGTTTACATTGGATAGATAATACTTAAAAACAGTATATTATATTATGTTTAATAAGTATATAGTATAATTGGTCAGCCGTCATTTGTGCTGCATGAAGACACGTTACCGCAACACGTGATGCCGCGCATGCTCTGCGTTGTGATGCGGTGGTGCCATTCATACCCAGAGGCACACCAACGCGTCTTGCCAATGCTGAGCAACACCCTCCTGTGCTTTGTTGCCTGTCAAAAAGTACACGTTTCGTGTGTGTAGAAATATATATATATACAGTGGGGATGGAAAGTTTGGGCACCGCAGCTAAAAAAGTGTATTAATGTGCATAAAGAAGCCAAGGAAAGATAGAAAAATCTCCAAAAGGCATCAAATTACAGATTAGACATTCTTATAATATGTCAACAAAAGTTAGATTTTATTTCCATCATTTACACTTTCAAAATAACACAAAAAAAAAAATGGCGTCTGCAAAAGTTTGGGCCCCCTGCAGAGTTAATATCTTGTACTGCCCCCTTTGGCAAGTATCACGGCTTGTAAACGCTTTTTGTAGCCAGCCAAGAGTCTTTCAATTCTTGTTTGAGGTATCTTTGCCCATTCTTCCTTACAAAAGTCTTCCAGTTCTTTGAGATTTCTGGGCTGTCTGTCACGCACGGCTCTTTTAAGGTCTATCCATAGATTTTCAATGATGTTGAGGTCAGGAGATTGTGAAGGCCACGGCAAAACCTTCAGTTTACGCCTCTTGATGTAATCCCCCGTGGATTTCCAGGTGTGTTTAGGATCATTATCCATTTGTAGAAGCCATCCTCTCTTTAACTTCAGCTTTTTCACAGATGGCATCAAGTTACCATCCAAAATTTGCTGAAATTTTATTGAATCCATTTTTCCTTCTACTCGTGAGATGTTCCCTGTGCCACTGGCTGCAGCACAACCCCAAAGCATGATTGATCCAACCCCATGCTTCACAGTTGGACAGAGGTTCTTTTCATTCAATTCTGTGCCCCTTCTTCTCCAAACGTACCTTTGCTCATTCCGGCCAAAAAGTTCAATTTTAACCTCATCGGTCCACAGAACCTGTTTCCAAAATGCATCAGGCTTGTCTATATGTTCATTTGCAAAGTTCAAACGATGATTTTTGTGGTGAGGACGTAGAAGAGGTTTTCTTCTGATGACTCTTCCATGAAGCCCATATTTGTACAAGTATCTCTTTATAGTGGAATAGTGACCACAACTCCAGTGTCTGCCAGATCTTTCTGGAGGGATCGTGCCGTCAAACGTGGGTTTTGAATTGTTTTTCTCACAATCCTGCGAGCTGTTCTGTCTGATATTTTTCTTGGTCTTCCAGATCTTGCTTTAACTTCCACTGTTCCTGATGACTGCCATTTCTTAATGACATTCCGAACAGAGGATATTGACATCTGAAAACGCTTTGCTATCTTCTTATAGCCTTCTCCAGCTTTGTGAGTGTCAACTATTTTCAGTTTCAGTTTTCTAGACAACTGCTTAGAAGAACCCATGGTGCTGATTGTTGGGGCAAGGTCAGATGAGTCGGGGCATTTATAACCTTTGAGATTGACATAACCTGGTCTTCCCAGACGATGATTGAGAACAATCCATGACACTGGCAGGTCTCAGCTTTGCAAAGGGGGCAGTACAAGATATTAACTCTGCAGGGGGCCCAAACTTTTGCAGATGCCATTTTTTTTTTTTGTTTTCTGTTATTTTGAAAGTGTAAATGATGGAAATAAAATCTAACTTTTGTTGACATATTATAAGAATGTCTAATCTGTAATTTGATGCCTTTTGGAGATTTTTCCATCTTTCCTTGGCTTCTTTATGCACATTAATACAAATTTTTAGCTGGGGTGCCCAAACTTTCCATCCCCACTGTATATATATATATATATATATATTTATTTATATATATTTTTTTTTTAATAAATATGTATTTATATACACACACAAACGTGTACTTTATGACAGGAAACAAATAAAATATATATATATATATACACACATATATATTTAATAAATATTTATAAAAAAAATAAAAAATAAAAATATATATATATATATATTTTTTTTTAATTTAAAGTTTAAAGTGTATATATATATATATATATAGTGCTCAGCATGAGTGAATACACCCCTTTTCAAAGTAAGATTTGAATCAATCTCTGAAAGAACACAAGAACGATCTCCACCATGGGGACAGATCGGAGTTTGATCGAACGTTTGGCTCATTCCATGGAAGGAAGGTTCATAATAGAACTTCGATGACAAAATCTTCAGTTTTACTTCAATGAGTCGATGCAAAAATGAATCTCCCCCCCCACAACTAGAATTCCTCCATCGAGTATTCTGTATGACCTCCATGATTGGTAAGGACGGCACTGAGTCTTCCAGGCATGGAATGAACAAGTTGGTGACGTATTGCGACATCGATCTTTTTCCATTCTTCAAGAACGATCTCTTCTAGAGCCTGGATGCCGGATGGAGAGCGATGCTCAGCTTGTCTCTTCAGAATTCCCCCCCATAGGTGTTGGATTGGGTTCAGATCAGGAGACAGACTTGGCCATGGAATCACCATCTCCGGAATCACTGTCACTTCAGAGATGCAGCAGTGGCCTTAGATGTGTGTTTTGGATCGTTGTCATGTTGGAAAAGTGCAGGACGATCGAGGACACGGAGTGACGGGAGCATCTTCTCCTTCAATATAGAGCAGTACATCTGTGAATTCATGACACCCTCAATGAAATGCAGCTCCCCGACACCAGCAGCACTCATGCAGCCCCACAGAAGGACACTGCCACCACCATGTTTCACAGTAGGCACCATGCATTTGTCTTTGTACTCCTCACCTTTGTGACACCATCAGTTATGAAGCCATCAGTTCCAAAAACATTTATCTTGGTGTCATCACTCCAGAGTGCAGAGTCCCAGTAGTCTTCTTTTTCAGCATGGGCCCCGGCAAATTCTAGGCGGGCTTTTTTGTGCATGGGCTTTAGGAGAGGCTTCCTTCGTGGACGACACCCATGCATGCCACTCCTCTGCAGTGTACACCGTATTGTGTCACGGGAAACAATCGCCCCAGTTGGGCTTTCTACAATCTTAAACTAACTGCAGTGAACCTGCATGGAGATTTTCTTCAACCCTTCTCATCAGAAGACGCTCCAGTGGAGGTGTTCACTCCCGTGGACGGCCTGGACGTCTCTGTGAGATGGGTGCAGTTCCATCTTTGTAACATTTTTGCATCACTTTTGCTCCAGTATTCTGACTAAGTAAAGCTTTGCTGATCATCTTGTAGTCGTCACCTTTATTGTGTAAAGAAACTGTTTTCTTTCTCAGGCCTCGTGACATTTCTCTTCCATGTGGTGCCATTGCTGACAGCATGAAACGGGCGGGGTTTTCTTTGTTAAGTAACGCCCTTTTATAATCACCTGTCTGCTGGACGCCTGTTTAATGAATAATGAGAGACTCACCTGGAGCTGAATTCTTGTCATTAGGATTTTGTGGTCTAAAATGTAGCTTTGCTCCTACGACTTTAATTGGGGTGTGTTCATTTTTGCAACATAGTCTTGAATGAATTTGATAGGAAAAGTACTTTTTTGTGTGTGTAAATGACCAAATCTTGTGTGCAATCAATGACCGGCATTTGTGGGAGGATTTTGTAGTATGGCGTCTCACAGAAAATGTGGATTCTGACAAATCTGTTGGGGGTGGGTATTATTTATTTATTATGGCGCAAGTTGAAAGGAGGAGCCAATGCTGGGTAAACCAAAAGAGGGAGGAAACAAATTCATAGTTGTGGAAAATGGATATGTACAGTATAAGGTAAGGTAAGTGGAAAAGGGGGAGGATCCTGAGTGGCAAAGGGGTGTGAGCAGTATGCATTAAAGGGCATCTTCACCTAATCCTCACCGGCACCTAATCCACACCGGCACCTAATCCACACCGGCACCTAATCCGCACCTGCACCTAATCAGCATCTTCACCTAATCCACACCGGCACCTAATCCGCACCTGCACCTAATCAGCATCTTCACCTAATCCTCACCGGCACCTTATCCACACCGGCACCTAATCTGCATCTTCACCTAATCCTCACCTGCACCTAATCCTCACCGGCACCTTATCCACACCGGCACCTAATCCGCACCTGCACCTAATCTGCATCTTCACCTAATCCACACCGGCACCTTATCCACACCGGCACCTAATCCGCATCTTCACCTAATCCACACCTGCACCTAATCCGCATCTTCACCTAATCCACACCGGCACCTAATCCGCATCTTCACCTAATCCACACCGGCACCTAATCCGCATCTTCACCTAATCCACACCGGCACCTAATCTGCATCTTCACCTAATCCACACCGGCACCTAATCCACACCGGCACCTAATCCGCATCTTCACCTAATCCACACCGGCACCTAATCCGCATCTTCACCTAATCCACACCGGCACCTAATCCGCATCT